GCTCATTAATATCTGCAAGTCAAAAGTGTTATACCTGTAATTGTGAAATGGTGAAGGCAATGTACAAAATCTTAGTCCAGTACAGATAAGAAGAAATAATTATGTTGATAATGAACATTTTCTTTTTTCCTGTTCGGAAGTTTTTAACCTCAAACATTGGTTTCTGAATTAAAATATGTAAGGTATATATTCTTAATGTGTATGCACTGTCTACGATAGAAGTATACCTATTGTTTTTCATTTTGTGAGTCCGTTAGATCATCCTTCCATTCTTTCGACCGTCTCATACGATAGTTTACCAGGTCAGGAAAATGACAGTTGTTTTTCATTTGTTTGATATGTTTGAGCTTTTGATTTTGCCATTTGATAAGGGACTTTCCGGTTTGAATTTTTCTTGGAGTTCGGTATTTTTGTTTTTTTACTTTTACAATTAAGATGTGGTATCAATTGATACTTAGTAAACATGTTCATTTTTATAAGTTTAACCCATGTCCATAAGTCTATTCCTTTGCTAATTTGCCATAACTTAAGAACATTACAGCAAAGTTATTTGAAAATTTAAGTTAACCTTTGTGTGCATACAATAGATGAAGAAAATCACCTTTCGTATATGCAGCCTTTTCGGTTTTTGATTGATGAGCTCAAATTTGTGTTTTAGGTGCCAAACGTCTATCATGTAGGGACAAAAGTGTTCCATAAATTCTATAATGTATATACAATAGAAAAGTGTTGGTTCGTCAAAAAGGTACTATAGTATTGTATATTCCAGGCGTATTGATGATAGCCATGTATATCTGCTTCTCCCAATCCTTTGTTGTAGGTGGGTGGCATATAGTTTCGCGTTATGTTTTCTGTTCTCCAAATTGAAAGTATTAGAAAAGAGAGGCAAAAGATACCAAGGGGACATTCAAACTCATAAGTCGAAAATTAACTGACAACACCATTCCAAAAAAAAAAACAAAAAACAAAAAACAAAGAAAAACAACAGTACACAAAACACAAATTAGAAAACTAAGGACTGAGCAACACGAACCCCACCAAAAACTGGGGGCGATATCATGCCATATGTGGCACCCGTCGAGTTGCTCATGTACGTACAAACCCGATGATAAGTCTAATTCGGTAGATCACATTCGGGGAAAAGGGGACGGGGTGTGATGCATGTAAATTAGAATAAAAATATATGTAAATACGCTAAGATTGATACCAATACTATTTGAAAAACACTCGTATGACACTTCCTAAATAGTTGATTTTTGACCAAAAACAAACTGCCACTTTATCCTGTTTATGATGTTCTAGTCCTGTGCTTGAGAACTGTTGAACGATTTTGTTTTCGTTTTATGTTTTTGTTACTTGAAGTCATGGATTTGTTTCTTTTCAGTGATTTCGACTCTATCTTAATTTCCCTGCAACTGACAGAATTTAACTGACACAATGAACAGTTTCTAAAAGGGGATGACCCAATTATTTCTCATGGCATCAGAGACGAATATATGACACAAAGACCTGATGGTATCCCATTTCTATGTGCTTTTTGTCTTAATGGTCCTGTGTGTTGTTCTTTGTTTCTTTCTTAGTGTTGTAGCTTGCAAGACAATATGAAAAAATCCGCACATTGGTAAACTAGTTGTTTTAATTACTTACTTTCAGTTAGGTTGACGTATATGTAAATCTTATATTGTTGATTTTTCATGTAGGAAGGTAGCTCCCTACTTATTATGATTAAAAAGATAATAACTGAAAGCTCAAATATTCAAGAGCAAAAACTCCTATGAGTCGACTGACGATTTTTGGCCATTGTAACACTAGTTAACATGTTCCAATCTGAAACGGTCATTTTGATCTGAACAACTCTTAAAAGACTGTACAATAAGTTATTAAGACATTTGCAGTCTTTCAGGCAATTTTCAGACTTCCAGGATTTCCAGAATTTACAAATCACCATTATACTGAATTATCTGAAAAGCTACTGAACAGTACTCAATTGATGGCAAGCGATTCATGTGAACAATACTGAATTAATCGCAGTAGATAATTCTGAAAATTGTCAGAAAAATGTCTGCACACCACTTAATCATTTATAGTTCAGACTTCTCAGATGATGTTAAGATCAGAACTACCGTTTTAGACTTAAAGTAATTTTTAACTGGTGTGATTTATTTGTAGATCTTGACTAGCTGATCATTTAAGCTCTTTACACTTTCTCTCTATAAAACAATAATTTTCGCATGAACCGCAAACATTTAGAATTCTCATTGAAGAGGTTAGGTTGTAGTTCTTGTGTATCTGATGCTGTTTCTCTCTATTTTTTTAAATTTTCAATATCACAGTCAAAATCACAAAAATGTGTCAACATTCTTATTTAAGGGCAATTACTCTTATTAAGAGGTAATAAACAATTTCAGAAGCTGTCATGCAGACGTATGTTATAGTTAAGCAACGGCGAATCAAAACAATGGATGTTATTAATGACTTAGGTACCCAAAAATAAATTCAAACAAAATACGGTTAATCCGTGTAATGGTTTCAGTTTAGAAGTTTTGTTTTTCATTTCATTTCACGACGAAGGACGATTAGCGTTAAGTTACGATAATAGCTCATATCGACCTTTTTTCTCCAGATGTTTAACAAGTAAAGGAGTTTTTATGAGTTTAATGTTTCTTTGAATATTCAGAAAAACTTTGGCTAAAATATAACCATGTTTCTCTGACTGAACACGTTTTAGTTCACCTAGCCAAATGAGCTTTTCTCATCACTTAGATTCCGTCGTTCGTCGTCGTTGTCCGTTAACTTTTACAAAAATCCCAGCTGCCAACCAACACGACAAACATGGCGAAAAATAGATCATAGGGTGGGAAATGAAAGTTTTGTCTTATCTTGAATACTGCTATGACATGAGAATCTGACATGGGCAGAAATGTTCTTACTACGTCAAAACTGTCAGACAACTTATTATAGGAGTATTGCCCTTAAATGACGAATTTAAAATTTTTTGTTTCAATTTTGGCTATTATGTTGAAAACTATGACAGATATAAAAAACCTTTTATTAGCAAAAATGATCACCAAGACAAGATCAACAAATAAGTTAACAGAACTGAAATCATTTGACTGCTCTTTATTAGAGTTACTGGTTACTCTCTTTAATGACGATTTTTATTATTTGTTTGCATTTTTGACTAATATCTTACAACAATAATACATAGATTGAATCTTTAAAAATCCAAAAGGATTAAAGAAACTAAATCTACAAACATGACCTATATCATCAGACGACTCCTTATTGGAAGTATTACCCTTCAATATATATATATAACGAATTTATCACTCTTTTTCGTTGTTTGTTTAATTTAAAAAAAAATATAATAGATCTACACAAAAGTTGACATGAAAACGTCAGTTAACCCTTTATTGAAATTATTGCCCTTTAATGACGTTTTTTGGCGTTTTGCCTAATATCCTGAAAATTAGAGTAGCAAGAAAAGATCTACTAATAAGCCATCGTGGCTGAAATCTGCAGTCGACTTGTTATTGGAGAATGACCCTTTAATGATAATTTTTTTATTTTGTTTTTGCATTTTGTCCACTCTCATGAACACTTTAATGGAAACAAATTAGATATAAACTTTAAGAAGCAAAACAGATCAGCAGGAAAAGATTTACAATTACCTCAACATGACTGCAGTTGTCAGTTAAATCTTTATAAAGTTTTTGCCCTTTATAAATGCAGGTGACCCACGCAGGCTCTTTAGATTCTCTAGTTTGTGTACGCCAGTTTCGACACCAATTATAAAGTTAATGAAAACAGATATTTCATAGCAAAATAAATTTTTTGGAATCAAATAATATATATTTAGTGACTCACTCCGTTATTATTTCAATGTTGTCATACATCAAATACTGCAAGCCTTGACCCCATCGCTGGCCCATGTGCTAAGACTTCTTAAGTGTCATTCGTTAATAAAATTTTACGTTGATCATGTAATGTAAGTGCATGCATTTATTTTTTTAATGTTGAACCTGTTACTTCGGAGATGGAGAAATGTTTATTTATATTACAGCCCCGAATCCGAAGTACTGCATAGCTGTACAAGTCAACCCTAATGACAACAAAGTAACCAGCTCTGTGAGATCTTGCAATCAAACGCTGAGGGCTCTTTGTAAATCTCTACCTGATGAATTTGATGGAACGGAAGACGACAAATCGACTAAAAGTAAGATTACATAAAAATCGAAATCGTTAAAAATAATTGTGAAAACACTATTTCAATACCAAAAATCCGTTCTTACAGAATTATTTGATAGACAAACGTCAACAAGGTTTTTTTTTCCGAAATTTTGATAAGTAATCAGCTCTTGGTACGTTCGTTTGCAATCTTATTAATAAGTAAACCGATATATAGTCACAAACATTCAAACGAGTGATTATGAAAACTGAGATGTACATTTACCGCTGGTATCGTTTTCAAACTCCGGATTGTTACTGTTTGAAATAGTGTACAATGTAGTTTCGCATTGAGCACGCTAAACCTGTCGACACACCCGGTATCGCTACCTTTGGATCTTGATATTCACTCGGTTTTTGTTTTACTTTGATATATTTTTTTTATTGATTAATGGTATTTGATCATCGGTATTCTGTTGCCTCCAATTTATGAAATTCAATAGGTATCCACTTATCATATAACTGTTTGAATATTAGATATACATGACATTTTCATGAAATTTCAAAAAGCTACCATTTATTCTTCTTGGAATAAGACTAGAAACATCACAAAGTATTGTGTGATACAAATCGTTTCGGATAAAATGTTAACTTGAAAGATTAATTAGATAAATAAAATTGAGAATGGAAATGGGGAATGTGTCAAAGAGACAACAGCCCGACCATAGAGCAGACAAAGTTTATTTTTGGTTTGCATACATCGTTTGTGCCTTTATTGATGACAAATGACAATAGTTAACAAACATTGATTTCTTTTAAGGTATTCTGATTATAGCAGTGGTTATAACTGCTTCTTGTGCTGTTGTGGTGGTCATTGTCATTACCGTCTTAATTATTAGGTATGTTTTGGTTTTCTTTTAATGTCTCTTATGGTACACATTTATTCTACAATTATACAGTGCATTTTTTAAAAAGAAGCCAGTTTATTTAGACATGCCTTTTATTTTAGCATATTTAAATCATGTATCATGTTTAATTGAGCAAACGTAAATTATGTAATCAAATTTATAAATGGAAATAAGTCAACCGTTAGATATTTGTCTTTTTGATTCACTTCAATCCTAGATTACTATAAATATGTTATTATGTAAAGACTATACGCCAAAAATTATCTAATAAGTCAATCAAGGACAGTGTGTTATCCAGAAGATCGAATACGGTCAATTATCTTACATACTTGAATAACATCTTACTTAAACTGTTGTTCTGAAATAAGTTTTAGGGCATGATTTTAACCTGAATGATGCATGATGTATGCATATAAGTTCTCAACTATATATCGGCTTGTGAAAGAGGGTCTTCAAAAATACTGTGAAACTGTTTACTCGCGTAGTGTTAATAACCTTATGTGGATTATAAAAAACTCGATTTTCCAACCCTGTATACCACCGTTCCCCGCTTTTCAATATAAAAATGGTAGCATACGCTATAAATTTATTATTTTGGGATACCATATGGCATATTTTGTTAATAGTGAACAAAAAAGTAAAACATGCTACACAGAGGAACAAGTGATCAGTATGCTGGAGTTTCCTATTGACAACATATTGTTGAATTTGGAGGTAGACTTTTTCCACAAATTGTCGGCATTTCTAAGGGAACGAACTGTGCGCCTCTCCTTGCCGACCTCTACTTAATTTCATATGAGTCGGAGTCCTTCAGACACTTGTCAAAAACAAGATGATCAAAGAAGCTAGATCATTTAATTTCACATTCAGATATATTGATGATGTTCTTTCTATTAACAATCCAAATTTTTCTGATTGGGTTCCATTAATATATCTTCCAGAACTAGAAATTAAAGAAACAACAGACACGGCATCCTCCGCATCATTTTTAGACTTATACCTTGAATTTGACATAGCGGTTATCTCAATACCAGAATCTGTGACAAAGGAGACGATTGAAATTATCAATTTCCCCCACCTCAGTATCAATATACCAACTTCACCTGCATATGGGATATACATTTCGCAACTCATTCGGTATTCAAGAGCTTGCAGCTGGTACTCAGACTTTATAAAACGTCACCAGTGTCTGAGCAGAAAGTTGATGAACCAGGGTTATGTCAAAGAACGTCTCGCCCTTTTTCTAAAAAAGTTCATCGGAAAATACCAATAGCTTGTTGATAAATATTCCGTATCAACTTCACAAATAATACATGATGGTCTTGAAGTATAGATTCTCGGTTCTGACGTTGTTTATCATCTTAATTACGTGTTATAGTGTTCTTTTATTTGTCTTTGTAAATTATTACCTTTACTCTTTAGCCCATTTTTGGTAATATCCATTTGGCGTGGCTCGGTACTTATACGTCACTGTGTTATTGTGCTATGGTAAATTTTGTATTCTTGTCTCTCATTTTTGCTTATGTGCTTTGTCAATAAGCCATTTTGTTTTTCTTTGTTGACATATTTGTTTGTTGTTATAGTGATTAAGATTATAACACAATGTTGACTGCTGTACCCCTATTTTTTACATTATTACCTTTTATATAAAAATAAGGAGATGTGGTATGAGTGCCAATGAGACAACTTTCCGCCAAAGTTCAAATAAAATATTATGTCTGTTTGTTTTGTTCACACATTGTTGTCAATATAATGGAATTTTATGCGACTGTCATACAAGTGAGAAGTTGAGCTAGCTATAAAACCCGGTTTAATCCACCATTTTCTACATAAGGAAATGCCTGTACCAAGTCAGGAATATGACAGTTGTTTTCCAGTCGTTTGCTGTGTTCGAGCTTTTGATTTTGCCATTTGATTAGGGACTTTCCGTTATGAATTTTCCTTGGAGTTCGGTATCTGTGTTATTTTACTTTTTACTTTCATATATTTGTAAACAATTAATACGAGTATTGTTTTCTTTGTTCGTTTTGAATGATTATATCGCATATTAATTTCCGCAATGAGTGTAATTACAGCATATATCTAGTTTGTCAGTATGATTTATACATAACATGCAAATTTGAGTTGAAAAGAATAAATTTAAAAGATGTTTATTTTATATTATTTTAATATTCGAGTGGACCTTAAGAGTTTTAAAAAGACTTGATCTTTTACTTTGTTAATATAATTGAAAGTTTGATTTTGTCAGTTTCTATGGTCTTTCGCCTTTATGAATTTACCCTGGAGTTCTGTATTTTTGTTTATACTTTTTATTTCACCATACCATACCATCTGAAATATCCTTATCGCCTTACTTTCATAATTTAACGAGACAATCGTATGAAAAGATCATTACTCTGATGTTTTTTCGACAAATTGCTAACATAATTTGGAAACATTTACGGAAACGAAAAATCTCACGCCCGTACACATATGTGTATAGTGTTAAATCGTGGTTCTTCCAAAAAACGTATATATACATGTACTTGATAATTTATACGGGTTTGTTTATATTGTCATTACTTATGAAGTTCATATCATAATTACCAATAGTGTTTACAAGTGCCCTCTATTTCATAAAATTTATTCAGGATTTAAATCTACAAAATATATCCTACTGAGAAGAATTCCAACATGAGTTACCGATAAAAGGGTCAAATTAAAAAAAAAAGAATTGTTATCATGAAAAGACGCCACAACTTAATTCTAAAATAAAGACCCGAACGATGTTATCTTTTTAACGAACTAACTCTAATACATCGTATCTATTTTACAAATTTAATAACTGTTATACTTTTAACAGAATGCGCAAAAATTCATCACGGCCGGGAATTTCCTCGAGGATTGTTTCTAGCAATCAGGTCGTCTATGCCATGGTCAATAAACCTACAACAACTTCGAATAAGCAAGAATTAACAGGAAAGCAAACAGCTGGAAAAACTGAAAATGATGATACATACGACCATATGGAACACCATCGCTCCAGTCAAGACCAGAACAACGAGTGTAATTATGATACAATGCAGGGTGTGGGAACTGCAGAAATTGAAAATGACTATGATGTGACAAATGGAAAGGAGAGAGATGGACAATTCATGATTGACGACTCAGCAGAATATAGCCACTTGGAAGTAGAAAATCAAGTGTGAAAAGACAAATCTTCAAGTTAGAGAACAAACGATTTATTTTTATATTATTATCTGTGTATAATGTAGAAAGGGGGACAGTTATGCTGAATACATATTGTAAAATCTTAACTTTTAATTACACTTGCCATTACCGAACTGAACTGATTACTGACTTTCCTAAAAATAATTCTTTATTTGTATATACACAATGCACATTTACATCCACAATGTAGGATTAGTATCACTATACATGGCAATCAACACAAAGAAATTCAAGCTGTTGTTTTTAAATAGTTCTACCATAGCAACACGGTGTGTAATGACCTTGATAGAAATAATAAGATAATCATGAAATATTTAGAAAATAAATATATTAAATGTAACAGTCTTAAATGTTCAACTTAAATAGAAAGGAATAAAGCAGGGAAACTTTGTTACCATGACAGCAGTTTATCAAATATTTTTATGAGGCAAAATGACAAAACATAGGAGTTTTCAAATCCTATTATCTTCCATGAGCAGTGGGTAAAATTAATTTGTATGATCACATTATTGCAGTTGACTATCGCCAAAAACATATAACACATACAAATATGTATCCTAGTACAGAATAAAAAAATAAAGATTACTTCTCCAATGTTTTTTACAATATTCATGCACTCTTTTCTCACTTATCATTTTCATGTTTCATGATGAAAAGTTTTCGACGTCATGCTCCACTTCATATTGATGTTAACATTAGGGATACTCGTAATTTGATCTAGGATCAATATATATATGTTATAATCATGAATGTAACCTGTTTACCTGAATTAGGGTATCGAGGATGACGTTAGAAACAGTCTTTTGTTGAATTCAAATAAACTTGAAAAATTATTATATCGAATATTGATGATCATATTGACATTGACGTTAGCGTAAACAGCTTGTATAAACTTCTGTCCGATATTTTTGATGAATTAACGAAAGCAGAAAAAAATATATTAAACATTGCGAAATTTGTACTGAATCATTTAAAAAATCCATCAAACCAGAGGATAAACCATGGAAAACAGACGAGTTTAGAACTATCTACAATAACTACCAATGGGCAATTTATTCTTAAATAAGTATCGTTCGAGCAAAAGTCGACTGAGCTAGGATTAAGTCAAACAACGGTATAAAAGTCTAGAATATAAACTAAAAGAGGTACAAAAACCAACGAGGAAACATGTTATCGAGTTTAAGAAAGACTAACCCGAAACATTTTCACAGAAAATTTAAAAAGTGTAAAAATAAAATGAACCACGGTATTACAATTGAACAGTTCAAAGAACATTTTAGAAATCTGACATGGAAAGACCTTAATAAAAACGTTACAAAATATTGCCCAAAGGAAATTGTGTATGAAGAACTTGGTGCACCCTATACGGAAGCCAGATTAGCAACTGAAGTTAGCGTGAAGTAATAAGCACTGCATACTCATAGATGTACAGTTTAGTTTTCGACCAGGATGGATACGAGACTGACGCCATCTTTGCCCTCCTTTCATTAATTTCGAAGTTACTTAGATTGGGTAAAAGAATATACATGTACCGTTGTTTTATAGATTACAAAAACGCTTTTGATAGTGTGTCTCACTTGAAAATATGGTTAAGATTTGTTAAACTTGATATGACTGGTAAATTATTAAGGTAATAAAGTCAATGTTTACAAAAATTAATTGCTCAGTGAAGTCTGATGGTATTTTTTCGAATTATTCCTCAAGCAATGTTGGTCTAATGCAAGGGGAATCCCAATCCCCTCTTTTGCATTCATTTTACATCAATGACATGGACATTTAACTGTTAAACCAAGGTGTTAGCCCATACTGAAATTAATATGACTTACATAGAATTGTTGCGAAAACAAAAATTGTTAATTTTAGAAATGTAAATGTAGAGGGCTTATTTAAGCCATTGAAAGGTGGTTTCTAAATGTTGAACTTATATAATCATGTGATCGATTTGTTTATCGGTGTATTTTTCAGATATAACGGTACTGTTGTTCACACTAAAAAAAAAGTTAGCAAATCCAGCAAAAAAGGCACTATTTAGTCTATTAGTAAAACATATGATGATTGTTTTATTCCAACTTTGATCTCAAAATTGGGCACATACATAAGTTGTATCCTAAATTACACTTGTAAAGTTAAGGAAAACTGCAAAGCACATGATGTTGAAAGGTCAGTTTCAGCTTCTTAACTAGTATTCGTAAAGTATAGAATTCAACTGTTAAATATTTGGTTTATTGTGAATTAGGAAGATTCCCTATTTATATATGTCAAAAGATATTGTAGAATTGTAGAAATATCGGTTCACACATTAATGTACTGATAACTGTATTCAAAAGTGTTGTTATGAAGGAATGTTAGAAAGGGCTATTGTTAAATATAATGATTAGTTGGATATATTTTCAATTAACATTGATAGTATGATGTATGATATATCCAAGGTGTTAATAATACTGAATTATTTCTACACGAATTCAGAGAAAGAGTGAGGAGTAATTTTGTGACTGAAATGAATGACTTTTTGAACAGTCATAGAAATGTTATTCATATAAATTTATTTATGATCCATATGGATTGCAATTGTATTTAGATCGTAGTGTGAATTATATGTACAAATCGTTCATTTTCAAATACGGTTGATCTTATCATAGCTTAGCTGTAGATAATAAAACATTGATAGAAATATGCGTTTATGTCACAAGTGTTACACACATGTAATTGAAGACCACTATCATTTTATTTTGGTTTGTGAAAAATATGCCACTTTAAGAAAAATTTATATTAAAACTTATCATTGGAGAAGACAATCAAGTTTCAAACTTGGCAAACTATTGTTTGTCCATAATGTAAATAATTGAATAATTTAGGAAAACTCTATATCTTGCTGAAAAGATCTGGAATTATTGACTGTGTTGTATATTCTCTGCCGGTGTGATTTCAAATCGTGTACATTATTGGCTGGACACTGATGATATTGTGCTGTGAATATTTGTTAAATGTATATATTATATCAGCTTTTTATTTACGAATGGAGTTATTATTATTATCATATGAATTTAGAAGACCACTTTGTCCAATTTGTAAAACAAGTTTTATGTGAACAATGCTTTAATGTGATTTTATAAGAAAGTCCTTTTAAGTTTAAGGAAAAGGTTAACGACAGTTTTTGTGGAAATCGACTTTTTAGGTTCATTTCACATGTATTTGAGTGGCTTTTAATTTCAAAAATATAAATCGTTAGATTTATAAAGACACATTATTAAGTAGATACTTAAGGTTTTTTATCAATATAACAGTGCGCATTTACTAATGCATGTTTGCATTGATCAACGTGTATTATCCAATTTAGAATCGATTGCGATGACGTGTCTTCTAAGAAATTATTTGTATTCATCAGGCGATTCGAAAACAACGTACAGGAAAAATATATATAAGCGTGTGTCGTACATTTAATCATACATTATGTGATAATTTAATGGCATAAAATAGAATATTATACAATTATAGCCTTTGTATCAGGTCGATACAAGGATATATTGACATGAAAGAAGTATATTGACTGAAACGAAGTCGGAGGTCGATATATCTTGTATTGACCTCATACAAAGGCTACAATTGTTATATTATTAATTTCCGACGATATTTGTATCAAAATCGTCAATGAATTATATTCTTTTTTTTTCGATCATTTAATTTTGTTTGCATTTTATAGATATCATATTGTCTCTTTGACAATAACAACATATTAGTTGTTATTTTAACTACTTTTTATGTTTTTTTGTGTACATCTTATGTATTTGAAGATTTATTTTTTAAATCAATCAATCATTTATATACACTTTTTAAAAACTTTTATTATAAATTCATAAGGTGACGTCACAAAGTATATCGGTTTTTAGATATTCTAAAAATAACCGTGCAATATCACTTTTCTATCCGCCGTTTTCAATCGACCTTTGAAAATATAGTTTAACACGTGACTATTCCTGAACGAATCAAATTAGTCAAAATATACAAATTAATACTATAATATAATATTTAATATTGTGTTAGTGTCACGTTAATTAACTGTTTGGGTTGCTCATCCAATTTTGTAAATATCAAGGAACTATAAACAACTGTCAAGTGGGAGGTTTAGGCAGCTATAAAACAACTTTAACCCACCATTTTTTTCTTATATGCATTTACCAAGTCAGGAATATGACATTTGTTTTCCATCGAAAAAATATACCACTAAAAATCGTCATCTTGCATCATCTCTCCGTGAAAAAAAAAGGATTCTTGAATTCGGAAATGCGATACGCAGGTAGGTAATGCTGCTCAACGGTAATTTTGGTATTATAAAATTTATAAAAAAAATCATAAGAATTTGAATTATTTTGCATTTTTCTCAAGAAATTTTGAAGCTTAGATTGATAAAAACTATTATAACACCATTGCTTCCAAGTCATCTCAATACTGAAATATAATATTGTAAATAGTTACTGGTAATCTTAACGTTATTGGTTTTTATGATATTGGTGCTTACATTGTGTAGACCACTTGTTTGGCATTATGAAAACTACATGTCCTTGTGGCCATTACAAATGTCATTTACATGCGTGGTGTTAATCATTCTGCAAAAGAAGTAACATAAATTCCTGAAATGGTTTTAGCTTATTTTAATGGTGATTAAAAAAGAAATATGTATACTGTTTTAAGTGATGCTTATCAAAATATGAAACAAATATCTGCGAAAAGTATTGAAATTAATACAGACAGACTTCAGATGCAAATTTTAATAATTAATCATAGTAACAAATAAAAATCAATCTATAGACTAACATATATTTATCATGTAAAAGTATAATAAAAGAATAAAGGCTGTTGGTTTCCTCAATTGAATTATTTCATTTTTTTCATGTCAGGGCCTTTTATGCCCAACTATACAGTATGGGGTTTTCTCATTGTTGAAGGCCGTACGGTTGCTTGTAATTGTTTACATC